TTGGGCACGAATCTCAAGGCAAAATCAAATTGGAAACTTCTGAAATTAAAATTGGGATCATTCGAACCCCGATTTTAGCAAACTTATAGTCAAATTGAACGTCTCAAAAATACAAACCCAACGACACCAAATTCAAGTCAATTTAGGTCCAAATCGGTCCAAATCAAGGACTCGAAGTACTATTGGAATGTTCAAACCACAATTTGGATTACTAAACGGTTTCCAAACATGATGCTTATAGTCGAATAGAGCGGCTTGACGAGACAAATCCAACGAGCCCAAGATCACAAAATTCTGATATCATTAATACATTAAAATGCCCGGTAAATAGTCCATGATCAAGGGATTTAACATCGACCGTCCATCCAAACCACTCTCAACTTACCCTTGATCTTCCACCTATTTATAAGCTATGTCACTCTAGAAAATCTATCTACTTCTCATGAAAGGGAGACCCGAAGAAAAGAATCAAGGGAGAGATCGGAGATCGCTCTTGCCTCCTCTCTCCTCCTCGACCGCTGCCCGGTCTTCTGCTGGACCACCACCTGACACCGGAGTTCTGTTGGACCACCACCCAATGTTAGAGTTTTGCCGGACCACCACACGATGCCAAAGTTTTGCCAGACCACCGCCTGACGTCGGACTTCTATCGTACCACCGCCCCACGCCGGAGTTCTACCAGACCACCACCTGACACAGGAGTTCCGCCGGACCACTACTTGACGCTGGACTTCCGTCAAGAGTACCGCCTGACATCAAACTTCCACCAGACCACCGCTTGAAGTCAGACTTTCGTCGGACCATCGCTTGACGTCGGACTTCAGCTGGACCACCGCCATACATCGGACTTCCGCCTGACACCGGACTTCCTTCAGGACCACTGCTTGACGCCGGACTTCCGCTGGACCACCGTCTAATGCTGGATTTTTGCCTGACGTCGGACTTCCACTGGCCAACCACTTGGCACCAAACTTCCCTTAGGACCACCGCCTGACGCCAAACTTCCGCCGAAGCATTGCTTGACATCGGAGTTCTGCTTGACCACCGCTTAACGCTGGAGTTATGCCGGACCACCGCTTGACGCTAGATTTCTGTTAAACCACCGCCGGCCACCAAATGAGGCCCGAACTTTCGTTGGACCACTGATAGAAGTTGGAGTTCCGCCAAACCATAGAATAATGCCTGGACTTTCACCAGACCACCGCCTTACGACTACAATCTTTTTGACCCCTATCTCTTGTCGACTTTGGTCCTTCCGACCTCTGTCGACTATTACAGTCCTTCTGACCTCCATCATCAGACAATGATCTTTTTGACCACTGTCTCCTACCGACTATAGTCCTTCTAATCTCTGTCGCCTACTACGCTCCTTCCGACCTTCATTGCTAGATAACGGTCTTTCTGACCCCTATCTCATGCCGACTATGATCATTCCGACCTCCGTCGCCTACTACGATCCTTCCGACATCCACTGCCAGATAACGATCTTTCTGACCCCTATCTTCTGCCGACTATGGTCCTTCCGACCTCCTCACTAAACAATGGTCTTTCTGATCCCTATCTCCTATCGATTGCGGTCCTTCCGACCTCCATCGCCAACAACGATCTTTCTGACCATTATCTCTCACCGACTATGGTCATCCCGACCTCCCTCGCCAGACAATGGTTTTTATGACCACTATCTCCCACCAATTACGGTCCTTCCAACTTCCCTCGCCAAACAACAGTCCTTCCGACCACCGACACCAAACTACGGTCTTTCTGACCTCCGTTGCCTACTGACTATGGTTCTGCCGACTAAACGAACATTTCAATACTAATTCTTCTAATTTCCACCATGCAATATGATGTACATTTGCTACATCAACCCAAGGCCTTCCCCCCAAGGAAGGACCTCATTTGTAATCGATTGCAAATAATATTGGATTCATTCAAACTGGGCCAGACATCATGGTTTTCCCCCTTTTAAGGGGTTTCAACGTAAAAAACTATGGTGTCTCTTATGAACGCTACACCCTTTCTTTTATTTGCTTGTATGCTAGATCTTCGTACAAAGCTAAGAGATTAAATTTTATATTTCTTTGCCGCCATGAATATTCCATGACGCAACAATTATATTAGAATTGAAAATGTATGCCATTAATATTCTATGAAATGAATTTGTTTCTTGTTCCATTAAATAATCTGATTGAATTTCATGTTGAATTAAGGCTTCGTTTGGATTAACTTCTTATTACTTTATGAAATAGTTTTTTAGTGCAAAAAAAGAAAATAGATTTATACAAAGAAACTATTTCATAAAGTATTAAAAAAGCTGTCCCAAATGAAACCTAAATTAAGTCAATATCAACTATCAGAATTTTTTACTAATTTTCTTGCTTTGATGATATAAATATACTTTTCTGACCATATTATTCACTTTGTTATTATTAAAATTTCATTAATATAAGATAATCAACCAGATATTAGTGATTTTAGTTCGATTGTAATAGCACAGAATTAGTTGAATTGAAAAAAAAGATAAAAAAAAAAACATTTTCTATGTTATGAAAAAAAAAATCATGTTCAAATAACAGCCAACAAGTTTTTTTGTTCCTTTAAATAATCTAATGGAATTTCAGGTCGATTTAAATTAATGCAAGGTCCAGTAAGAGTTGTCTACTTTTAATTTTCTAACTATCATTATATTATTAAATTTTCATTAATGTAGGGTCATGTAGACTTTAAAGTTTTTGAATTTATTTTTAAGTCATAAATAAATTTCGGACTTCTCGAGTGCTGTGACAATTAAAAAGCTATTGTCTATCCTATTTGTTTTTAGAGGAAAAAAATATCTAATGAAAAGATAATATTATGCTTAAACATATTAGGTTGTATACTTCTAATGCTAAAATACAAATTGTAAGTGCACAATAGACTTTAAGAAGCCTTTTAATGGAGTCTTCTTTACAATAGCTATCATATTGATATTTAGGTTTCATTTGGGACAATTTTTTTTCCTGCTTTCTAAAACAATCTTTTAGTAAAACAAAATTTAAACTAAAAATTTTTGTACTAAAAAGCTGCTTAAAAAAACAGTAAAAATCCATCCTAAATGAAGCCATAGAAATGTCAAAACTGGCGTAACCCCTTTGAGAGATTCAATACATCATTGAGGTTATTTTTATCATAAGCTGATGTGAAAGCTTATTGAGATTAAATTGACATGCCTTTGCCTAAGGAAAGATTATTACATGTGGAGATCGGACATAGAGTTGTTCGGTTTTATCTCTATGAACTATAAAAGCATAGTGGTGAACTTTTATTGTTCCTAAAGACAAATCAGACGATTCTTTGTGTCTGGTCTCCACACAAAATAATTTCTCCTGCCAAAGACCGCTCATGTTGGAGATATCGATCTTGAATTTGAATTCATGAATATATTGTGAGTTGATAGTAAGCTTGATGTTGCTGGGAGCATTTCAATAATTCAATGCTAAGAATATAAGGGAGATCACTAAGTAGGGGTGTCAATTTCGGATCACGGGTTGGGTTCGAGTCAACCTGACCTGTTTTTGCAAACGGATCAATTTTCTCGATCTGAACCCGACCCACTTCGGGTTCAAGTCAACCCGAACCGACTTGAATAGTGCCTTTCATCTTCTCTTTTCGTTGTTGCTATTGGGCTTCGTTGCTTCCCAGGAGGTGTAGAGATTGCTCGCATCGCTTCTTCGGATCCTTGGTGGCTGATCGACGTCGCTCCTTCGACGATTTTCCCTTCTCATCAGATTAGAAGTTACAACATTTTGATCGGAAGCAATGACGGGAGTTCGCTCGTTGTTGTTCACTTCGTTGTTGTTCGACTTCGCTCTTCGGTCGTTGCTATTCGGCTCCTTCATGGTTGTTCGGCATTGCTCCTTTGACCATTTTCCCTCCATCAGATCGGAAGTTACAACATTTTGATTGGAAGCAACGACGGGAGTTTGCTCGTTGCTCTTCAGCTTTATTGCTTGTCGTTGCTGTTCGGCTCCTTCGTGGTTGTTCGACATCGATCCTTTGACCATTTTCCTCCCATCGGATCGGAAGTTACAACATTTTGATCGGAAGCGACGACGGGAGTTCGCTCATTGTTGTTTGGCTTCGTTGTTGTTCGGGTCATTACCGAGTTTCTGGGTCAACCTGAACCCGACCCAGTTTTACAAACGGGTCGATTTTCTGGATCCAAAATTAGCCTGCTTCGGGTTTAGGTCAACTCAAACTCGAATTTTTCGGGTCGGGTTCGTATTAGGTTTTCAGGTTGGGTCCAATATTGACACCCCTATCACCAAGGTCTTTAATTGAAAACTAAGGCCAAAGCTAGGTGAAAACTTTTGATTAATGAACAAGGAAGTGTCACTTTATGAGTTTAACAAATCCATAGGAATATAGAAAGCCCTTGAGCACATATAGGCTTTTAGAACTTACAGAAGAAAGGTTTGGTTTGATTGACAAAACCTAGTTGTAGTTGCATGAAAACCTCTTCAGTTGACGAAATGGCCAGACAATAGAGAGAAGGCAAGAGTAAGAATAAGGCTTCGTGTGGGACGGCTTTCTTACTGCTTTTTAAAGCAGCTTTTTAATACCAAAATTAATTTTTTTCTACTAAAAAACTGCTTTAAAAAGCATAGATTAAACCGTCCCAAACCAAACCTAAGTTGAATAGTCATAGATCTGGCCACCAGCAGAAAGCATGTAGAATAGAAAACAAGATCATAGGAGACCGAACATACCAATCATTTTCAGAAATTGGAAACAATAACATGATGAGAGCTGTAATTCTTTTGTGTGTGTGTTTTTTTTTTTATAATTTCTAAAATATATTTTCTATCAACAAGCCATTAAAAGAGTCCAAAGAAGAGGTAGGAGTTATTTATACCAATTCCTCACCCACCACATGGACCTCTAACATTCTCATTAAAAGGGGCTTGCAAAACAAGAAAAAAAAATCACAAATTAGTACAGCCAGCTCATAGAGAAACCAATACAAGAAAAATATGATTCTTAAATTATAGCAAAAGACAAATAAACAAGCAATAATACAATTCAGTATCTTGATAAAGCAAGGCATTCCATCATATCCAATCCTTAGCAGGCAAAAACGCCAAAAAAAAACCATTAATCCTGCTAAGAAGATGGATGGAGGAAACCTTAAAACATTGGATAATTGTAGGATAAAAAAATGTACAAAAGAAAGAGAATGGTCATATATAAAGGATATGATGCTCTTAAGGCCAAGGCTTTGTTCTTTATAATTTTGGGTGGATATTAGAAAAGATGAAAGAGAAAGCTATAATATTGCAGGAATTTGCTCCATGACTTCAGGAGCAGTGGATGAAGGCTTTTCCTTCTTAGTTTGGTTGAAACATAGATCCTTATTTGCAGCTAAAGCCAATAGCTCCTTCTCCTCCAACCCTTTGGCTGCCCCAAGGCTAAACTTGCCTGTGTCGTGCTTGGCCAATGCATCCTTAAATTTCTTAATCTGCGATTCAGAACACATTTCACAATCAAATATCAAACTTGAACAAAATTTATCAACACAATCTCCTACAGATTATTAGAACAAACCAAACTATACAGTAGCGGCCTTCCACACAAGATAACTCTTAAAAACTAGTTCAGAAATATCTATAATCTGCAACCTGTAAACAAATTGAAAGCAACTCAACAAACAAAACAAGGTGAAGAACTTGCAGTAGCATTAGTGCAGCTGAAGCTACAAAGACGACCGTGAGCTCCCCTGTAAAATCTGAAAAAGGGGAGGACATGAACGTTCAAGCTATAACACATGGATTTATGCTTCTCATAATTTACTGGTAGAAAAAGAACATGGGGGTTCTGCTCCGCAAACTGACAAATCTGCACCAATAAGATTTTTAACTGACATAAAAGCTGATAGAAACAATGAATTATCTGAATGAACAAGAAGGAAAACTTTCCAAACAGAAACTTGCCTTTGGATGAAGGGATTTGCAGCCTCCACAACCTGGGGAGTAGAAATCCACAATAACAAGTCTGTCACCGGCGTGTATCAAGGAATCTACGAGATCCTGAGCTGAAGTGATCTCCTTCATGTTAGGCTGCAAGCCCTTTTCCCACCATCTCATGCCTTTCCCAATCGGAAGATCCATCTGAGAATTATCCAAAACACATAAAAAATCCAGCTTTAATTTCCCTAAATCAGAACCATCAAATGTTCACCAGCTCGAGCAAAGAACCACAGCATGCACAACGAGTTTCCTATTTTCAAGCCCCAAAAACAAAACAAAAAAAGGAATTCTAACCATAATTAGATACCGAAAAAGCAGGGTTTCAAGATTTTTTCAACGCACCCTAACAGGAACGGCATGATGAACTCTATTCGCGACCTTCCCCTTCTGTCGCTCGATGACCACTCTCCCAAGCAGATCACTTTTACTTGAAAAAGGAGATCTGGCAAGCCCAATCGATGAGCGGAATAGATTGGCAGATAAGGGTTTTGACCTTTTCGAAGAAATTGAAGAAGAACGACATCGGTGAGGTGAGAAGACGCTCCCCTTACTCATTACATCCGCCATGAACCCGCAAAATCGAACCTTTCACAACCTAGAAGGACAGGGAAATATACGGTAAAGAACTAAAGATAGAGTTTCGTTTTTCGGTCGATGGTCCAGACGGAGAATGGGGAAATGGAGAAGACGAAACAGTAAAGCGGCGAAACGTAACCCAGCCCTGCATATTATCTGACAAAATAAATTTTGCACTTTGGCGTGTTTGCCACTTCTTTTCACCCACATCGGATCCGTCTATTTTTTCGTTATCCGATATTTCAGCCGTTGGAATTTTACAACGTGGATGACCTCTGTAGTGCCACGTATTTTTAGTTAAGAATTCTGCTTGAAATACGAGCCTTCGCCACGTGGCTTTACGATAATAAGTCCGTAGTCTTAAAAAAGTGTACATATGAGAAGTGCAGGCTATTAGTTGAGAGTTTTGATTAGGGGCTTTGACAATCAATCAAAGAGTCTTAAGTATATGATATATGTAAAAAAAAAAAAAACCGAGTTATTCCAATAAAATACTGTAAGTATTCTTTAACATTCATCACCTCATATTTAAATATATTTTTTTCAAGTATATATATATATATATATATATATGCGGATCTTTTGAGATAGGGTTTTGAGATAGGGTTTTTCGGTCCGCTAGGGTTTTGCTTCCTTGGCGGCTACTTCCAGCTTTTCTCCGGCCGCTTGGCCTTTCCCTTCCGAGAGGAGGCGTGCTTCTCCTCTTCGGTATGGATCTTGATCCTCTATCTTTTCCACCTCTCCCGGGATCCTCTGTTCTTGGCGCTCCTCCTCGCCCTCTTGTCACCTATGCGGATAACCTTTCTGCTCCTAAGGTTTCTTCTGATGAATGGCCCATGTCTTTTGTTTCTCCTACAAAGAAACTCTCCATCTCTGCTGATGAGCTTGCTGCGGGCAAGAACATTTGGACCCATTCTCTTGTGGGGTACTCTATCGTTCTTGCGCAATGGACTACCATTCAAGAAGAGTCTAGATTATAATTGCAAGAAAATGACGCAAGCACTGGAACAATGATATCATAATTCTATAGTTTATCAGATTTTTTATGCATAAATGTACATTTGCATGTAGTTTGCCAATGAGAAATATAACAATATAACAATAAGTAGACACAAAATATGAAAAATGGTACCTTGAGCCATTATGTAGGAAAGCTAAGAAGTATATATACTTTGATGTTTTAAAATATATTAATAAAAATCCTCTAAAAAATGATATGAAAGAAACAATTCCAATTGATAAACTAAAAATAAATTCAACCAAAAAATTGATCTATCATCCTTGCCTTTTTGTTCTTTCATTATAAATTTATTTATTTTTATTCCTACTAAACTATTTCTATTTTTTCCTATTGGTGTTATCCTTTCAACAACAACAATATCAAGCCTTTATCCCACTACGTGGGGTCGGCTACATGAATCCTTTTTCTCCATTGTGTCCTATTAAAAGTCAAATTCTCGTTTAAATCTAATAAAGAAAGGTCATTCCTAATATTTTCTAACCAAGTCTTTTTAG